GTGTAAAAAGCTACACAAGAAGAAGCCATGAAAGCCAAATTTTCAAGCCTTTCAGTCGAGCCACACAAGCCAAAGGAGAGAGGAGCTACGCCACTCGTCAGCCGAGCCAGAAAAGTGGGCCCCTGTGGTCTGCGCGTTCCCAACTCCACCTCATGCACATCAACAGCACGCAAAACTCCTCAGTCGCGTCCAATACTTTCCTCCGCGTGGGTCCCACGTCTACGATGCTAGCCTGCCTTCTTCTCCACATGTGACAGTTGTTCTCCGCGCACCCCAGCTCTCTTTTTCTGCCAGCGCCCTTTCTCTTCTCCGCGCGCGACACGTGAAAATTTAGTCCACTTCCTCCAACCCAGCTTTGACACGTGTCTGAGGGTGCTGGATCCGAATTTCTTCCCCAAAGATCAAAGCAAATTACCATATTTCTTCTCCAAATCATATATATATGATTTTTCCTAATTTATGTGTAATTTTATTTTGTTTCCTTTTCGTTTTGTAATTTTTTATTTTTTTTATTTATTTTCTTATTTGATAGGCAACCTCTAAACACTATAAATAGAGGGGTTAGCCTAAGGTTTTTAAAAAGCTTTTAATATTTAGTTTTCTTTCGTCTTGCTGTCATTATCATATTTTCTCTCTAGAACTTGTGAGAATGTTTTGCAAGCTAGGCTAGAGTTTTCTTGGTGATGTTAGAGATGAACTTTTGTTAGTGACCCAATTCAGGCTTTTGATTCCTTGCGTTGTAATGTTTAATATATGAATGAATTAAATCTCATCTTTCTTTTACTTTTCAAAATATTGTGTGCCAATTTTTATATAAGTTCAGTCATGATTTTCTTATGTAATTCTGTCGTGCACTATTTTGTTATTCAAATTATTTTGCAAATTATCTTTTACTGCAATATTGTCAAATTGATATATTGTCGATTTTGGATAACTTGTAATAATAATATTTTTGGAGTCAACATAGAGATTTAATTTATTCGATTCTTTTATTTTATGAATCAAAACTTGAATTGGTGAATGAAACATTAGGGATTCTCGACCCTTACCATTTTTATTATTGAATTTCTTTCACACAAATCTTCTCTCCTTTTTATTTGCAATAAAGTCTACAAAAACTCTTCTTTTTCTTTAATTCACTTGTTATTTATTTTTCTCTAACGCTCTTATTTTGCTAATCCTTCTTGTTTATTTTGTTACCTCTCTGTGGATACGACCGCCCTTCTATGTTACAATTGACTGCTTGTGAGCATCACTTTTGGGCGTTAATCTAATTTTGGCGCCATTGCCGGGAGGTGCTACTAGTAAGACTGATCAGTAGATTTTTAAGCCAAAGAGGTAAGTGGATTTTTTTTTCTTCATTCTCTTTTCGTTTATTTAAAAAAAAAAAGAAGTTGCTGCAAGTTTCCACGTATTCAATCTATAGTTGCTGCAAACTTTTGTTCTTCTTTTTATTCCACCATCCCTCATTCAAAACCAAAAAAGAAAAAGTCACCTTTTTGGTATTTAGGTTCATTTCTGTAGTAAAGAGCATATCTAAAGTCACTTTTTTTTTTCATTTCTGTAGTTTCGTTGAAAAAAAAAAAGATCTCACTTTTAGGATTTATTTTTTATTGTTAATTTTATTTTCCCTTTTAGTTTTAAAATTGATTGTGATTTGATTTTGTAATCTTTTATTTTTGATAAATTAAGATTTTATTTTGTTTCCCTATTTGTATAATTTAATTGTTAATTATTATATTGTTGCCTAATTTAATTTTTCCTTTTATAGTTTTCATTAATTCTTAGGATTACAATTAGGATTGTAATTAATTGACCATTCTTAATCTAGAAGTTTCATAATGTGATAGATTTAGGCTTTTGACTTTAGGAATACTTTCCATTAATTAGATTACATTTCATAGTTTATTCAATAAAATTTAATAATTGATTTTGAGAATAATTGTGTGGTTACATGGAAAGTATAATCTGAGGGAGTTCTATCTAGGAAAGCTGGTATTTAAGTGGGCCCCGCCTCACCAATCTTTCCTGAAAACGTTGCTCTGTCTAGGAGACTATTCATTGAGCTAAGAACTATAGTCTTTTCTGGGAGCACTCTCGGTGGTTAAAATTTACGTTACTATATAATTATTTTCTTTTGTTTTGATGAAAAATTAAAAAAAAAACAAAAAAAATTAAAAAATTAAAACTTTTTAAAAAAAGAGCTGCTTAGGGTGAATGCATCGGTATAGAGACAAACTAGGGAGATTTGCTCAACGTCCAGACTTAGAAACTCCTTGTGAAATTCTATCCGACTCGTCATCTACGCCTCCGTCTTCACACTCATCGCTGGAATTCGTACTTCAAAATCTATTCGCAATGGCACAACACGAGGAAGTTCAGCAGAGGACGTTGCAAGATTACCTGAACCCAACGCGAACGGCCACCCCATCTTACATCATGTTCCCACCGAATGCACCGCCTATGGATTTCAAGCTGGGCATGATTGTACTTCTCCCATCCTTTCATGGGTTAGAGAATGAGAACCCATATGTACACATCTGGGAGTTTGAAGAGGTGGTGGCCACCTTTCACAGCTGTGTTGAGGCCGCAAACATCGTCAGATTGATGTTTTTCCCTTTCTCTTTGAAGGAAGAGGTCAAAAGCTGGTTGTATTCTCTTAGGCCTAGGTCTATTGGTACGTGGGAAGAAATCACGATGACATTCTTCAACAAGTATTTCCCATACCATAAGACCAATAATTTGAAACGACAGATCTCAAATTTTGCTTAGAAGAAAAATGAAACTCTCTATCAAGCTTGGGAGCATTTTAAAGATCTGTTAAATCTGTGTCCCCACCATGGATATGAAAGTTGGCACCTTGTAAGCTATTTCTACGATGGACTCATAATCCGAGAGCACCAATTTTTTGAGATGATGTGCAATGGGGATTTTCCCCAAAAGGATCCTGACGAAGCTATCGAGTACCTGAACGAGTTAGCTAAGAAAGCTCATGCTTGGACTGGACCGAGTGCTACTGAGAACACCAGTAGGTCCCGACCAATTGGAGTTTACCAATTAAGGGAAGAGGATAGCCTCAAGGCCTAAGTTGAAGCTTTGACGAAGCAAATCGAGGCCCTCAAAAGTAAAGATAGTAAAGGATCCCACATGGTGGCAAGGACAGAGGCACATGAGCCCTATATAATTTGTGGTGGAGTGGGCCATCTAGCTCAAGATTGTCTCACTTTTGGTAAAAGGAGGAGGGTATACGAGGAGCAGTGCAATGTATTGCACACTGATAACTCTATGAAAATAGAGTTAATTAAGCATTTTCCAGACTTAAATTATTACCTAAAGGGTAATTAGTATTAGTATTCTCTTATATTTTTAGTATTGTTAATAGTTTTTAGTTAATTGTGTTTAATAAATTCTCTCATGATTAGCGTTAAAAAGAACTAATTTGGGTGCAATTTGTGGATAATCTCAGCTTAAAGAAAGGTGGTCGTTTGGGAGTTTTGAGCAGCATCTCGTATTTTGGAGTGTGAATAAATCCTGGTCAGCATTACTCTGCGTTGCTCCAGCAACACGAGCTGGGCCAGACGTGTGCTGTGCTGACAGCTGGACTTTAGCTGGTCAATGAGCTGTCTTGTGTCCGTGAAGGGTGACAATTGAGCAATAATTGGAGGCCTTCTCAGATGCTGCCACGTGGAATTAGGGTAAAATAAGTACCTGCAGCTGAAAGAAAAGGAGTTGTCCTTGGTCATATTTTGCAACGAAGAGGCGGCTATACTTGGAAAAGGAAACCACCTCCATTTTCTGATTAAGTACCAGCACTAGTACTGGAAAGAAGAGGAAGGAAACGTCACAGAGTATTGAACGTGAAGGAAGGTCCATTGTTGATGCAGGAAGTGCTTATAAGAAGCCTTGGAAAAAGGCGATTCTGATTCTCTCCTCGTGACCTTAGTTTTTCTTAATCTCAGTACTTCTGTTTTACTTTGTTGAAGGACATTTACGTTTCTCTTTAAATCTGAGTTCGAATGCATGTATAACTCTATGAGATTATGATTTGTTGGCTGAGATTGTTAAGTTGCCGAATATTGAAATGGTAGTTGATGTTTAATGGATCTGAGTATTATTTCTCTGTTTATTCAAGTGAGCTTAATTTTCTGCCTTAACTGTGATTGGGAATTATAAGAGGGGAGCATAGCTTTGATTAGATCTGGAAAGATTTAGTTGAGTAGACATAGCTTGAATAGTGTAAGTTCTTAGATCTTGTTTTAGATTTTTGATTCACATGATATAGGAATATATTGTGTCTTGCATAACCATATGATTTAGAGCTTCATTCTCTGATTTTAGAGTCTAAATTTGCAAAGGGATTTGTTGGATTTAGTTTTAACATCGGTAGACAGAGGATTGGAAAATCCTTGCTTTGCTTTGGTAAATCTGGTCAACAAGGAAGTTTTTGCTGCCATCCGTTGCTGCAGCAACGCGCAGCTTGATAAGAGACAGTTTAGCAATTGTGAGCCACGAACAGTGACTTTGGCCAATTTATATGCACATTTTGTTATTAATTAGATTTATCTTTGTTTGTTTATTTTCTTACAGCCAGTTTATTCTTAGTTTTTAACATCTTAAAATCAACTTTATTTTTCTTCTAAAAACTTGAATAGAATTAATTTAGCAATTTGATTTCAAAAACCTTCCATCCCTGTGGGATCATACTTGATTATTCATCATTTTACTACTTGTTGATTCATGCACTTACGAGATTCTAAATTGACAATTTTAGGCAACAAGTTTTTGGCGCCATTGCCGGGGATTGTCTTATTCGAATCTTATTGTTAAAGTAATTTACTATTCAAGTATTTTTGTTCATTTTCATTAGAGTTTCTGATTGTTGGCAGGTTTTTGGAACATCTTGTATGCAAGAACCTGAATTAGTCCCTCCTGACCCAGAAATTGGAAGAACCTTGAGAAGGAGAAGAAGGGAGTAGCGAGGATTTGCTCACGTACAAGAAATGGCTGAGGAAGACGTTCAGGGGAACTTACTAAATCTGGGGCAGCAGCTTATCGTTCTTGAACCGGTTCAAAGACCATTCTTGGTTGATGATCATCATCGAGCTATCAGAGACTTTGCAGTCCCGGTTCTTGATGGACTGAATCCTGTGATTGTTCAGCCAAACATTGAGGCCCAATACTTTGAACTTAAACTGGTCATATTTCAAATGCTACAGACCGTGGGACAATTCAGCGGTATGGCGGCAGACGATCCTCATCTACATTTAAGGTTATTCATGGAAGTTAGTGACATATTCAAGCTACCGGGAGTTCCTCTAGAAACTTTAAGGCTGACACTTTTCCCTTACTCTTTGAGGGATCGTGCTAGAGCTTGGTTTAATAGCCTACCTGCTGATTCCATTATTACATGGAATGATCTAGCTGAGAAGTTTCTTATGAAGTATTTCCTTCCGATAAAGAACGCCAAGTTGAGAAATGACATTACCTCTTTTCATCAAAGTGATGGAGAGTCAGTTTATGCGGCATGGGAACGTTTTAAGGAGCTATTCAGGAAGTGCCCATTACATGGTATTCAAATGGAGACTTTTTACAATGGTCTCAATGAACAAACTAGAGTGATGGTTGATGCCGCAGCTAATGGTGCTCTTTTGGCAAAATCTTACAATGAGGGCTATGAGATTCTGGAGAGGATGGCTACAAATCATTATCAATGGCCAACCAAGAGACTACCCACAAGGAAAACACCGGGAGTTCTTGAAGTGGATGCAATTACCGCTCTTTCAGCTCAAGTGTCGAATCTGACCAACATGATCATAACCATGAACACTTCAACTGGAGTGAATTCTGTCTAGGCCCTTACACTCTCTTATGTATACTGTGGAAAGGGGCACCTATTTGAGGGATGTCCTTTGAATCCCGCTTCGGCTTGTTATGTGAGTAACTACAACCAGAACAATGCTTACAGCCATCAATACAACCAAGGATGGAGACAACATCCCAATTTCTCTTGGAGTAATCAAGGGGCAGGTTCTAGTGGTGCTCCCCCTTCTAATAGACCAGCTCAGCCATCGGGTTTACCACAACCAGCTCAACCAATGAGGATTCAAGCGGGTGAAAATTCAAATTCCTTGGAGAATTTACTTAAGGAGTACATAATGAAGAACGAGGCTAAAATGCAGAGCCAAGATGCAACCTTGAGAAGCTTGGAAACTCAAATTGGGCAACTTGCAAATGCTTTGACTAATCGCCCCCAGGGCACTCTTCCAAGCAATACGGAAAATCCTAGGCAGGAAGGCAAGGAGCATTGCAAAGCCATTTTATTGAGAAGTGGAAAAGCATTGGAGCAACCACAGGAGTAAAATGAGCTAGATGGAGAGCCTTCTTCGATCCAAACGGAAGAAAGGCAGGATGGTTGCATGAATCCTGGACAAAGTCAAGATGAGGTAGAACCTAGTGTTGCTGCAGCAATGCAACAGCATCACGGTTCAGACCAACAACATCAGAGTCTACATTTTGCTGACAAACAGAGTTCTGCAGTGTTGCTGCAGCAACACGAAGCAATAGGAACGTGCCAGAACAGACAACCACCGCCCTTTCCTCAGAGATTTTAGAAGAAACAACAGGACAAGCAATTTGGGAAGTTTCTTGACGTGCTGAAACAACTTCACATCAATATTCCATTAGTTGAAGCTCTTGAGCAAATGCCGAATTACGTGAAATTTATGAAAGAAATTCTTTCCAAGAAGAGGCGTTTGGGTGAATTTGAGACGGTGGCACTTACAAAAGAATGTGGCCTGATCTCTCAAAGCACTCTACCACCAAAATTAAAGGACCCAGGAAGTTTCACAATCCCATGTTCGATTGGCAACACTTATTTTGATAAAACCTTGTGTGATTTGGGTGCAAGCGTAAATTTGATGCCAATGTCTATTTTTAAGCAGCTAGGTATTGGTGAAGCTAGGCCGACTATAGTCACCCTTCAACTTGCCGATCGATCATTTGTTCATCCGGAGGGAAAAATTGAAGATATGCTGGTGCGTGTTGATAAATTCATCTTTCTGGTGAATTTTGTCATCTTGGATTACGGAGCAGAGAAGGAGGTGCCCATTATTTTGGGTAGACCATTTCTAGCTACTAGAAAGACATTGATTGATGTGCAAAAAGGTAAACTCACTATGTGAGTTGACGATGAGCAGGTTACCTTCGATGTTCTCAATGTTATGTGCTTCCGGATGAGGTTGAAGAATGTTCGGCTATAGGTGTGTTAGATGTTCTTGTTTTGAAAAAACTTAACAAGAATGCTTATGAGGAAATAGAGGATGAGGATATAACAAATGCTGCATTGGAAGTTGAACAAGTTGATGAAGATTCTCAAGCATTACTGGGAGAATGAGATCAAGTGGCTGTTTGTCAAAGAAGACCATTTGAGTCATTGGATTTATCTAAGAGAAGTTTGAAGCCTCCTAGGCCATCAATTGAAGAACCACCGATGTTGGAATTGAAGCCTTTGCCAAATCACTTGAAATATGCTTATTTGGGTGAAGAAAGTACCTTGCTAGTAATCATATCATCCACCTTGGATGAGGAACAGGAGGACATGTTGCTTGAAGTGCTTAGAAAGCATAAAAGGGCCATGGGATGGTCGATAGCTGATATTAAAAGGATCAGCCCTTCTCTGTGTATGCACAAAATCCTATTAGAAGATTGTTGCAACAATTCAGTGGAGCAGTAGCGGAGATTGAACCCCATCATGAAGGATGTGGTGAAGAAGGAAATCATCAAATGGCTGGATGCACGGATAATTTACCCAATTTCAGATAGTTCTTAGGTCAGTCCTATCCAATGCTTACGAAAGAAAGGGGGAGTGACAATTGTGGCCAATGACAATAATAAATTGATACCCACTAGAACCGTGACTGGTTGGAGGGTATGCGTATATTATAGGAAGCTCAATGCCGCCACTAGAAAGGAGCATTACCCGATGTCGTTTATTGATCAAATGCTGGACAGACTTGCTGGGAAGGAGTTTTATTGTTTCTTGGATGGATACTCAAGCTATAATCAGATTGCTATAACACCAGAGGACTAAGATAAAACAACCTTCACTTGTCCATATGGAACATTCACTTTCCGAAGAATGCCATTTGGTTTGTGTAATGCTCCAGCAACATTCCAGAGATGTATGATGGCACTTTTCACTAACATGGTAGAAAAGACTTTGGAGGTGTTTATGGATGATTTTTCCATCTTTGGTGACTCTTTTGGTGATTGCTTGCAAAATTTGGCTAAGGTGCTTTAGAGATGTGAAGAAACCAACTTGGTCCTCAATTGGGAAAAATGTCATTTTATGGTAACAAAGGGAATTGTCTTGGGCCATAAAGTTTCCCAAAGAGGCATTGAAGTGGATAGAGCAAAAATCAAAGTCATTGAGAAACTACCTCCTCCTACGTCTGTCAAGGGAATTCAAAGTTTTTTGGGGCATGCCGGGTTTTATAGGCGATTCATAAAGGATTTCTCCAAAGCCTCTAAGCCATTATGTCTTCTTTTGGAGCAAAACAGGCCATTTGACTTTAATGAAGACTGTCAACGTGCATTTTCTAACTTGAAGAGAGCTCTTGTGACAACTCCTGTGATTGTTGCACCGGATTGGGCACTTCCATTCGAGTTGAGGTGCGACGCCAGGGATCACGCAGTAGGGGCAATGCTCAGCCAGAGAAAAGGGAAGCTTTTTCACTCTATTTACTATGCTAGCAGAACACTTACTGATGCCCAATTGACTTATACCACGACAGAAAAAGAACTATTAGCTGTGGTATTTACTTTTGACAAGTTTTGATACTATCTTGTGGGATGAAGGTGACAGTATATACGGACCACTTAGCCATCAAATACCTCATCTCAAAAAAAGATGCCAAACCAAGGTTGATTCGGTGGATCTTGTTACTTTAGGAATTTGATCTTAAAATCAAAGATAGGAAAGGAACCGAAAACCAAGTGGCAGACCATCTCTCTAGACTTGAGCAAGGAAATGGGGCTGATTCACGTATTCATATTCAGGAGAGATTTCCCGATTAGCAACTCCTTATAGTGCAGCAAGCTTCTTTGCCATGGTATGCAGACTTAGTAAATTATTTGGTGAGTGGCAAGACACCTCCTGACATGAGCAGACAGCAGATGAAGCGGTTCCTACATGATATGAAATCTTACTATTGGGAGGAGCCTTATCTGTATAAACAGGGTGCAAACCAAATTTGGAGGCGATGTGTTTCCCAAGAAGAGACATTGAGTATTTTGCATCATTGCCATGCTTCACCATATGGAGGTCATTTTGGGGGTTCAAGAACTGCTGCCAAGGTATTACAATCTGGTTATTTTTAGCCTACACTCTTTAAGGATGCTTATAAATTTGTCAAGATGTGTGATCGGTGTCAACGTGTGGGAAACATTTCACAACGTCATGAAATGCCCTTAACTAATATCTTGGAAGTTGAGTTGTTCGATGTATGGGGCATTAATTTTATGGGGCCTTTTCCACCTTCATATGACAACCTGTACATATTGGTGGCAGTTGATTATGTGTCAAAATGGATTGAGGCATCGACATTTCCCACCAATGACTCAAAGGTGGTGATCAAATTCTTGCATAAGAACATCTTCACTCGTTTTGGGACTCCACGGCCATGATAAGTGATGAGGGGACTCATTTTGGGAGCAAACAATTTGAGGTGGTGCTCGCCAAATACGGTGTCAAACACAAGGTTGCCACAGCATATCACCCCCAAACAAGCGGTCAAGCAAAAATCTCTAATAGAGAAATCAGGGGAATCTTAGAGAAGGTCGTGAATCCTAATCGAAAGGATTGGTCATTGCGATTAGATGATGCACTATGGGCCTACCGGATAGCCTTCAAAACACCCTTAGGAATGTCCCCCTACCGTCTTGTTTTTGGCAAACCGTGCCATTTCCCATTAGAATTGGAGCACAAAGCTTATTGGGCAACAAGAAAGCTCAACATGGATCTACAAGCTACTGGGCAAGCAAGGTTACTGCAATTAGATGAGTTGGAAGAGATGCAGATGTTCTCGTATGAGAACGTAAAGTTGTACAAGGAAAAGACCAAAAGATGGCACGACAAGAGGATCAAACTAAGGGAATTTGAACAAGGACAACAAGTGCTGCTATATAATTTGAGGTTGAAATTGTTTCCAGGCAACCTCAAATCCAGATGGTCGGGACCATTCACAGTAGTCACTGTCTTTCCACATGGAGCTGTGGAATTACAAGAGGAAAAATCCGGGAGGAAGTTCTTGGTAAACGGACAGCGAATCAAGCATTATTGGGGAGGACCTATGGAACGTTCCAAGACCTCTGTCACATTGAGTGATGACTAAAAGAGGGGAAGATGTTAGGCTGAAGACGTAAAAATAAGCGCTATTGGGAGGCAGCCCAAAGTTTTTGATTTTCTTCATTTCATTTCATCTTGATGCTTTCTTTTTAGTTTGGAGTTGTTTATTTCTTTTATTTCATCTTCCTTCTTATTTTGGTTTAGAGTTGTCAAGCAGAGCACTGACTTTATTATTAAGTGGCAGGGCAGATTATTATCACGGTTGGCTATTTATTCATCAGGCATCAAATTGTTGTGGATTGCTGTCAAAAATTGAGGGGCAAATAGAGCAAGCTAATAGGGCAGGCCTGAAAATTGGGAACAATATTTTACTACAACATCGTGTAGCATTGCCTTCCTTTGCGAGAAGAAGATTTAGGCTCTAAGTGTTTAAATGGGACGGCGTCATTTTGGCAATTATAGGAACAAATTATCAGCCAAATAAATGACGGTGTTTTGGCCCCAAATTTAAATCCCCCAAATAAACCCTCTCCCATTCGAAATCACCCTACAGAACATCTTCTTCTCCATTTTCCCCTGCCCTAGCCTCTTTATCCTTCTCATTTTCTGCCATAGAGCCGCTGCCAACCCCTTCCACCACTTCGACCACGAGCTTCCTAAACTCCTACCATCACTTCAGCCATGGGCAAGAAAAGCACTGCCAAGAGGCCTTTCTCCTTGACCCGACATGATTCTTCCATGGGCAAGACACGCACTGCCAAGAATCCTTCCTCCTCGACCAGACATGCCTCAGAAATTTGAAAGTTTGTTGATGATGATGCTGAAAATAGGTACGCCGACAACATTCTTGCTCGACATCTGGTAAAAGAAAAGAGATTTTTACTTCATGACAGCCCCATTTTAGGCCAGCCGGCGTTTGTATCGGACGTTATTATTCCGAGGTAGTGGCATTTTTCTGCCACCACCCAATCGATCCCATTGTGCCTCTGGTCAAGGAATTTTATGCTAACCTGCAAAACTAGGGCCAAAACACTGTCTTTGTATGGCAGATTGATATTCAGTTCACCTTTAGCCACATCAACATTATTCTTGGCATACAAAACCAAGAGGACGAGTTTGTTGATTTGATGACCAATATCACGGAGGCACAACTTGCTGACGTCGTACAAACAATCGCTATCCCTGGAGCTCAATGGATATCATCTACCACGGGCACCTACACATGCAATCGGCATGAACTACAGCCAGTCGCCAAAGTGTGGTACCACTTTTTGGCTTCCCGTATTTTGCTATCTACACACGGGAAGACAATTTCCAGAAATTGGGCCATTTTTCTCTATGCCATCCTTGTAGGCAAGCCCATCAATGTGGGGAGATTGATTATTGATCAGATCCGAGCTTGCACAAAGAAAGACAAGGGAGGACTGTACTTTCCTTCCCTAATCTCGGCAATGTGCATACAAGCCAACGTTAAATCGGAGGTGAGTGAGCCGTGTTTAAGGAATACTAGCCTGATTAATTTGGTGGCCATTACTCGCATATCTTCAGGGCGGAGTGAGAAGATAGAACACGGCGAGCATGCTAGTGATGGGGACGATGATGAGGATGCACCAAACAAGCCTTCTTCGAGTAATGCCGCATCTACCTTTACCGCTCAAAGTTAGGAATGGCTTAAGCAGAGGATGAGCCTTTTTGAAATCCAGCAATTTGAAATGCTCAAATTATTACAGCAGTAGGAAGAGCAACTTCGCCAGTTTTGGGCTTATTCTCGGGATAGGGACATGGCTTTAAAAAAGTCCTTTCAGCGCAATTTTTCTAAGCCTTTCGCCACCTTCCCTGTGTTCCCAGAGGAGTTACTTCTGCATACCCAAGTCTCTGATGATGACAACGAGGTGCCAGCCCAAGAAGTTTATAATGATGCCACTGATGGTGTTCAATAGGAGGGACCACCAATTGCTGCAGCAACAGATGCAGTAGCACCTTCATCTTCTCATGGCAAGCAAAAGGGTAAAGTAGCAGCCGCTAACCCACCCCCTAGCGACGCTCAT